CGTTATCATTGATCTTATAAACAACGATATCTACGTATACTGACAACAGTCGTTATCATCGTATACTGTCAGAACACATACAATGGTGATAAGTGGATTACACATATTCACATAGGGACCACATTGAACGGTTGGTCTAAAACACTTTCTGGATGAATTCCAGACAAAACTTATTATATTACTATACAGTATATACTACCATCTTTGGACATATTTTGAACATTAGTTTGAAGTTAAGGTCCAATGTATCGGAGTAGATAAATCTGATCAAGACAGGTCCAATGTATCGGAGTAGATAAATCTGATAAAGACAGGTCCAATGTATCGGGGTAGATAAATCTGATCAAGACAGGTCCGATGTATCGGAGTAGATAAATCTGATAAAGACAGGTACAATGTATCGGAGTAGATACATCTGATAAAGACAGGTCCAATGTATCGGAGTAGATAAATCTGATCAAGACAGGTACAATGTATCGGAGTAGATAAATCTGATCAAGACAAGTACAATGTATCGGAGTAGATAAATCTGATCAAGACAGGTACAATGTATCGGAGTAGATAAATCTGATTAAGACAGGTCCAATGTATCGGAGTAGATAAATCTGATTAAGACAGGTCCAATGTATCGGAGTAGATAAATCTGATCATGACAGGTCCAATGTATCGGAGTAGATAAATCTGATCAAGACAGGTACAATGTATCGGAGTAGAAAAATCTGATCAAGACAGGTCCAATGTATTGGAGTAGATAAATCTGATCAAGACAGGTACAATGTATTGGAGTAGATAAATCTGATCAAGACAGGTACAATGAGCTAAATCTGCCAAAATGAGATTATTTATAAAACTAATCAAAGATGGAAAAATAAATTCTATAGTGTTTCTAGGAATAAAATATAAAATGAATACCAAACTGTTTAGTATCCGTCAGTGTATGTAGAGTCATAGCTTTCTAAACAATCTACCACAATAATATACACAGTATCCCTCAGTGTATGTAGAGTCATAGATTTCTAAACAATCTACCACAATAATATACACAGTATCCCTCAGTGTATGTAGAGTTATAGATTTCTAAACAATCTACCACAATAATAAACACAGTATCCCTCAGTGTATGTAGAGTTATAGATTTCTAAACAATCTACCACAATAATATACACAGTATCCCTCAGTGTATGTAGAGTCATAGATTTCTAAACAATCTACCACAATAATATACACAGTATCCCTCAGTGTATGTAGAGTTATAGATTTCTAAACAATCTACCACAATAATATACACAGTATCCCTCAGTGTATGTAGAGTTATAGATTTCTAAACAATCTACCACAATAATATACACAGTATCCCTCAGTGTATGTAGAGTCATAGATTTCTAAACAATCTACCACAATAATATACACAGTATCCCTCAGTGTATGTAGAGTCATAGATTTCTAAACAATCTACCACAATAATATACACAGTATCCCTCAGTGTATGTAGAGTCATAGATTTCTAAACAATCTACCACAATAATATACACAGTATCCCTCAGTGTATGTAGAGTTATAGATTTCTAAACAATCTACCACAATAATATACACAGTATCCCTCAGTGTATGTAGAGTCATAGATTTCTAAACAATCTACCACAATAATATACACAGTATCCCTCAGTGTATGTAGAGTCATAGATTTCTAAACAATCTATCACAATAATATACACGGTATCCCTCAGTGTATGAAGAGTTATAGATTTCTGAACAATCTACCACAATAATATACACAGTATCCCTCAGTGTATGTAGAGTCCTAGATTTCTAAACAATCTATCACAATAATATACACGGTATCGCTCAGTGTATGAAGAGTTATAGATTTCTAAACAATCTACCACAATAACATGCACAGTATCCCTCAGTGTATGTAGAGTCCTAGATTTCTAAACAATCTATCACATTAATATACACGGTATCCCTCAGTGTATGAAGAGTTATAGATTTCTGAACAATCTACCACAACAATATACACAGTCTCCCTCAGTGTATGTAGAGTTATAGATTTCTAAACAATCTACCACAATAACATACACAGTATCCCTCAGTGTATGAAGAATCTACCACAATAATATACACAGTAACCCTCAGTGTATGTAGAGTCATAGATTTCTAAACAATCTACCACAATAACATACACAGTATCCCTCAGTGTATGAAGAGTTATAGATTTCTAAACAATCTACCACAATAATATACACAGTATCCCTCAGAGTATGTAGAGTCATAGATTTCTAAACAATCTACCACAATAACATGCACAGTATCCCTCAGTGTATGAAGAATCTACCACAAAAATATACACAGTAACCCTCAGTGTATGTAGAGTCATAGATTTCTGAACAATCTACCACAATAATATACACAGTATACCTCAGTGTATGTAGAGTTATAGATTTCTAAAAAATCTACCACAATAACATACACAGTATCCCTCAGTGTATGAAGAGTTATAGATTTCTAAACAATCTACCACAATAATATACACAGTATCCCTAAGTGTATGTAGAGTTATAGATTTCTAAACGATCTACCACAATAATAAACACAGTATCCCTCAATGTATGTAGAGTCATAGATTTCTAAACAATCTATCACAATAATATACACAGTATACACAGTATCCCTCAGTGTATGTAGAGTCATAGATTTCTAAACAATCTATCACAATAATATACACAGTATACACAGTATCCCTCAGTGTATGTAGAGCCATAGATTTCTAAACAATCTACCACAATAACATACGCAGTATCCCTCAGTGTATGAAGAATCTACGACAATAATATACACAGTAACCCTCAGTGTATGTAGAGTCATAGATTTCTGAACAATCTACCACAATAATATACACAGTATCCCTAAGTGTATGTAGAGTTATAGATTTCTAAACAATATACCACAATAATAAACACAGTATCCCTCAGAGTATGTAGAGTCATAGATTTCTAAACAATCTATCACAATAATATACACAGTATCCCTCAGTGCATGTAGAGTTATAGATTTCTAAACAATCTACCACAATAACATGCACAGTATCCCTCAGTGTATGAAGAATCTACGACAATAATATACACAGTAACCCTCAGTGTATGTAGAGTCATAGATTTCTGAACAATCTACCACAATAATATACACAGTATCCCTCAGAGTATGTAGAGTCATAGATTTCTAAACAATCTATCACAATAATATACACAGTATACACAGTATCCCTCAGTGTATGTAGAGCCATAGATTTCTAAACAATCTACCACAATAACATACACAGTATACCTCAGTGTATGAAGAATCTACCACAATAATATACAAAGTAACCCTCAGTGTATGTAGAGTCATAGATTTCTGAACAATCTACCACAATAATATACACAGTATCCCTCAGAGTATGTAGAGTCATAGATTTCTAAACAATCTATCACAATAATATACACAGTATCCCTCAGTGTATGTAGAGCCATAGATTTCTAAACAATCTACCACAATAATATACACAGTATCCCTGAATTTTTGTCATAAATGCAACACACATTTGTATGAAATCTTGATAAAAATCTTCATGAACATTTAATTTACAAAAATATCTCAATATTTTACATACACTTATAGTAAAAACTACATCATGTCACTTTATATATATACACACACAAACACCAAACTTTACCAGTCTATAGAAAGGATGACATTGCTAATATAAAAAATTAAATCAAAATCGTGTAAGATTTTGAAAAATATCATAATTGAAAACTAAATAAAACCAAAGGGCTAATTTCATCATCCTTTTGATCTCAAAAAATAAAGCATGCTTCCAATTATTTTTTTGACCAGTTAAACAAATTATAGTTAATACAAAAAACACCAAATTATAAATTGAAATGAAAAAATTGATACAAAGTTTATAAGTGTGTACATAACAATAATAGCACAGTATGAAATGACTAGAAAATGTTTCCAAAAAAAACATATGCCAGTTCTGCTTGCGATTTGACCCTTTCACCACTGTGGACCATAATGGACTCGTCCTTGATAAATACATGGTAGAGTTTACTAAAGTTACACAGGGGTGAAAGGGTTAATGAAAATTGAGCTTAACAAAAAGTCACATAACAAAAGGACCGGGCTAAATATAGGTCACAGCGACTTGGTACAATGTATTGGTGTAGTCCTACATATGATATATATATTCACGACTTCAGTTTCCGTTTGATAACTGTTTGACTTCTAATAATAATTGAGCTTACCAAGATCTGGCTGGAAATTGCAGTTGGTTGGTAATTATTAAACACTGACACACCAATAAGTCATCTAAACATCTCCATCTCTATGGCACCGTTCATATATATGGCACAATTAGTTTTATATGAAGATTGGGGCTGGGATGGCCAAGTGGTTAAAGTGGGCGACTGTCTACGATCGATATCCCTCGACCACTGGGTCAGAGTTCCAAGTATAATAGGATGTAAAGGACAAACCAAATCATATCGCGATAAACGTAAAATCAGGGCACAAACAGTATATTCATGGCACGAATGAGGGACCAATCATTTTTTTTTAAGGAATTTAGTTTTCTTTCAGAGAAAATTTCTTTCGCTTTATATTTTTCAGTTATTTGTTAATTTCTATCAAGATTTTTCAATTCATAATGAAAATTCAAAAAGTCTCAAAAACAGGAAAGTTTATTGAAAATTAATTAATTTTTCAGCTCATCCAGAAATGATTTTTAAAAAGATGGGAGAATATTTTCTCCTGGGGAAGTAAAGAACTTTGCTATGATTGATCCCTGAAACAGTTGTAGCTAGGTTTAATACAAACATAGCATTATTCATTATAAAACTTCACCAAGAATTTGTTTTCCATATCATCAACAAAATCATTAGTACACAACTGATTTTACTTTCTGGTAATTAATCATCAAATTAATGTTATGAACAATAATTACTCTAATTGGGAATTAATGTATAATTTACCTTTTTCACCTGAAGTATTAATGATTAATGTTATTCAAATTGCCATGCTCTTGTCAGAATTTGTTCAAACCGTATTAAGCTGACAGTAGTGGATTTTGTTTAAGTCCTACAGAATAAAATCTGTGTATCTGTGAGTAACATGTTCTAGCCTGTCGAAACCTTGGTGTTGGCCGTTGGTATAAAGTATGGGTCCTCCTCCTTCCTCACTGTGTACGTAATAGCATTGGAGGCCGATGATTACAAAGGAAAGCAAAAAAATATCTTGTTCATATGACAGGATACATTTGTTACTAAATAAATGGTGACCACTTAAAATTTTAAATCAAAACAAAACATGTTTGACTCGTAAGTACCGGGTAATATTCTAAATGTTTTGAGTCAACAATTCATATTAATATCAATGTAAATTGTTTACAAAATAAACCAAAAGTTATGAAATTGAAGGCATGTTAATATATGACAATAACGAAAAAGTAAGACAAATTCTGAACACAATCTCATAGATATAGCATTTGAATCTCTTTCCTTTGAAAAAATGTCTGTTATACTTGCTGGATAGAGAGAGAACCACCATATCTAACAACAGGAGTCCAGGGAGACTCCGTGTTATACTTGCTGGATAGAGACAGAACCACCATATCTACCGACAGGAATCCAGGGAGACTCCGTGTTATAACTGAGATTAACACATTATTCTTGTCAGGCAGCAAACAGTGTCCTCAACACACAGGGAGGTCGAAGATTTCTTTAACTAGTGGTAGGATATTAGAGAAGTTATCTGAGAGATCAAAAACTTTCTTCCGTAAATTGTCACTAAACTCCTCCACGATTTGTCGTAAATCTGATATCAGTACAAGCAGTATTGGGAAGATTTTGATGTTTTTTGGATGATTGTGTTTTAATTCAATCCTTAAAGCTTGAAGTAGATCCATCTGCATATTTTCCAAATGTTTGACATCAGCTATGTCCGGCGTTTCTGAAATAATTTCAAATTTGAAAATAATAAATAAAATGTTCCATGCAATTGGCAAGAATCCAGAAGTGTAAGCGTACTAATTTAAGCCACTGGCGGACTAAATACTTCTGCCCCATTAAGGAGAACTACTATTACACTAACTTAAGCCACTGGCGACTAAATACTTCTGCCCCATTAAGGAGAACTACTATTACACTAATTTAAGCCACTGGCGGACTAAATACTTCTGCCCCATTAAGGAGAACTACTATTACACTAATTTAAGCCACTGGCGGACTAAATACTTCTGCCCCATTAAGGAGAACTACTATTACACTAATTTAAGCCACTGGCGACTAAATACTTCTGCCCCATTAAGGAGAAGTACTATTGCACTAATTTAAGCCACTGGCGAACTAAATACTTCTGCCCCATTAAAGAGAACTACTATTACACTAACTTAAGCCACTGGCGGACTAAATACTTCTGACCCATTAAGGAGAACTGCTATTACACTAATTTAAGCCACTGGCAACTAAATACTTCTGCCCCATTAAGGAGAACTACTATTACACTAATTTAAGCCACTGATTTAAGCCACTGGCGACTAAATACATCTGCCCCATTAAGGAGAAGTACTATTGCACTAATTTAAGCAACTGGCGAACTAAATACTTCTGCCCCATTAAAGAGAACTACTAGTACACTAACTTAAGCCACTGGCGGACTAAATACTTCTGACCCATTAAGGAGAACTACTATTACACTAATTTAAGCCACTGGCGACTAGATACTTCTGCCCGATTTAGGAGAACTACTATTACACTGATTTCAGCCACTGGCGGACTAAATACTTCTGACCCATTAAGGAGAACTACTATTACACTAACTTAAGCCACTGGCGGACTAAATACTTCTGCCCCATTAAGGAGAACTACTATTACACTAATTTAAGCCACTGGCGGACTAAATACTTCTGCCCCATTAAGGAGAACTACTATTACACTAAGTTAAGCCACTGGCGGACTAATTACTTCTGCCCCATTAAGGAGAACTACTATTACACTAATTTAAGCCACTGGCGACTAAATACTTCTGCCCGAATAAGGAGAACAACTATTACACTAATTTAAGCCACTGGCGGACTAAATACTTCTGCCCTATTAAAGAGAACTACTATTACACTAACTTTAGCCACTGGCAGACTAAATACGTCTGCCCCATTAAGGAGAACTACTATTACACTAATTTAAGCCACTGGCGGACTAAATACTTCTGCCCCATTAAGGAGAACTACTATTAAACTAATTTAAGCCACTTGCGGACTAAATACTTCTGCCCTATTTAGGAGAACTACTATTATACTAATTTAAGCCACTGGCGACTAAATACTTCTGCCCCATTAAGGAGAACTATTACACTAATTTAAGCCACTGGCGGACTAAATATTTCTGCCCCATTAAGGAGAACTACTATTACTCTAATTTAAGCCCCTGGCGGACTAAATACTTCTGCCCCATTAAGGAGAACTATTACACTAATTTAAGCCACTGGCGGACTAAATCCTTCTGCCCCATTAAGGAGAACTACTATTAATCTAATTTAAGCCACTGGCGGACTAAATACTTCTGCCCTATTAAAGAGAACTACTATTACACGAACTTTAGCCACTGGCAGACTAAATACGTCTGCCCCATTAAGGAGAACTACTATTACTCTAATTTAAGCCACTGGCGGACTAAATACTTCTGCCCTATTTAGGAGAACTACTATTACTCTAATTTAAGCCACTGGCGGACTAAATACTTCTGCCCCATTAAGGAGAACTACTATTACACTAATTTAAGCCACTGGCGGACTAAATACTTCTGCCCCATTAAGGAGAACTACTATTACACTAATTTAAGCCACTGGCGGACTAAATACTTCTGCCCCATTAAGGAGAACTACTATTACACTAATTTAAGCCACTGGCGGACTAAATACTTCTGCCCCATTAAGGAGAACTACTATTACACTAATTTAAGCCACTGGCGGACTAAATACTTCTGCCCCATTAAGGAGAACTACTATTACACTAATTTAAGCCACTGGCGGACTAAATACTTCTGCCCCATTAAGGAGAACTACTATTACACTAATTTAAGCCACTGGCGGACTAAATACTTCTGCCCCATTAAGGAGAACTACTATTACACTAATTTAAGCCACTGGCGGACTAAATACTTCTGCCCCATTAAGGAGAACTACTATTACACTAATTTAAGCCACTGGCGGACTAAATACTTCTGCCCCATTAAGGAGAACTACTATTACACTAATTTAAGCCACTGGCGGACTAAATACTTCTGCCCCATTAAGGAGAACTACTATTACACTAATTTAAGCCACTGGCGGACTAAATACTTCTGCCCCATTAAGGAGAACTACTATTACACTAATTTAAGCCACTGGCGGACTAAATACTTCTGCCCCATTAAGGAGAACTACTATTACACTAATTTAAGCCACTGGCGGACTAAATACTTCTGCCCCATTAAGGAGAACTACTATTACACTAATTTAAGCCACTGGCGGACTAAATACTTCTGCCCCATTAAGGAGAACTACTATTACACTAATTTAAGCCACTGGCGGACTAAATACTTCTGCCCCATTAAGGAGAACTACTATTACACTAATTTAAGCCACTGGCGGACTAAATACTTCTGCCCCATTAAGGAGAACTACTATTACACTAATTTAAGCCACTGGCGGACTAAATACTTCTGCCCCATTAAGGAGAACTACTATTACACTAATTTAAGCCACTGGCGGACTAAATACTTCTGCCCCATTAAGGAGAACTACTATTACACTAATTTAAGCCACTGGCGGACTAAATACTTCTGCCCCATTAAGGAGAACTACTATTACACTAATTTAAGCCACTGGCGGACTAAATACTTCTGCCCCATTAAGGAGAACTACTATTACACTAATTTAAGCCACTGGCGGACTAAATACTTCTGCCCCATTAAGGAGAACTACTATTACACTAATTTAAGCCACTGGCGGACTAAATACTTCTGCCCCATTAAGGAGAACTACTATTACACTAATTTAAGCCACTGGCGGACTAAATACTTCTGCCCCATTAAGGAGAACTACTATTACACTAATTTAAGCCACTGGCGGACTAAATACTTCTGCCCCATTAAGGAGAACTACTATTACACTAATTTAAGCCACTGGCGGACTAAATACTTCTGCCCCATTAAGGAGAACTACTATTACACTAATTTAAGCCACTGGCGGACTAAATACTTCTGCCCCATTAAGGAGAACTACTATTACACTAATTTAAGCCACTGGCGGACTAAATACTTCTGCCCCATTAAGGAGAACTACTATTACACTAATTTAAGCCACTGGCGGACTAAATACTTCTGCCCCATTAAGGAGAACTACTATTACACTAATTTAAGCCACTGGCGGACTAAATACTTCTGCCCCATTAAGGAGAACTACTATTACACTAATTTAAGCCACTGGCGGACTAAATACTTCTGCCCCATTAAGGAGAACTACTATTACACTAATTTAAGCCACTGGCGGACTAAATACTTCTGCCCCATTAAGGAGAACTACTATTACACTAATTTAAGCCACTGGCGGACTAAATACTTCTGCCCCATTAAGGAGAACTACTATTACACTAATTTAAGCCACTGGCGGACTAAATACTTCTGCCCCATTAAGGAGAACTACTATTACACTAATTTAAGCCACTGGCGGACTAAATACTTCTGCCCCATTAAGGAGAACTACTATTACACTAATTTAAGCCACTGGCGGACTAAATACTTCTGCCCCATTAAGGAGAACTACTATTACACTAATTTAAGCCACTGGCGGACTAAATACTTCTGCCCCATTAAGGAGAACTACTATTACACTAATTTAAGCCACTGGCGGACTAAATACTTCTGCCCCATTAAGGAGAACTACTATTACACTAATTTAAGCCACTGGCGGACTAAATACTTCTGCCCCATTAAGGAGAACTACTATTACACTAATTTAAGCCACTGGCGGACTAAATACTTCTGCCCCATTAAGGAGAACTACTATTACACTAATTTAAGCCACTGGCGGACTAAATACTTCTGCCCCATTAAGGAGAACTACTATTACACTAATTTAAGCCACTGGCGGACTAAATACTTCTGCCCCATTAAGGAGAACTACTATTACACTAATTTAAGCCACTGGCGGACAAAATACTTCTGCCCCATTAAGGAGAACTACTATTACACTAATTTAAGCCACTGGCGGACTTAATACTTCTCCCCTATTAAGGAGAACTACTATTACACTAATTTCATTTATCGATAGTCAAGGAATTAATTTTGACAAATTTCGTAATTGAGAACCAGAAAGGAACATCAAAAATATCCATAGAAAGAAAGTAGAAAAACTATCGAAAGCATACGACTAACTAGGGTATTTATCATGTGTATAAAACCCCTGTCACACATAGCCGTGTTGCCACTGCGATTGCACGGCGTTGTTAAATTTCCAAGAGCGCCGTGAGATCTCAGGCAAAATTTATATTTTTTATGCTGATGGCGATGTCAGGGCGTTCTCACAGCGACCTTGGCCTTTTTTTACGGAGCTCCATGGCGTTCTACCGCATTCCTACTGAGTTCTAGTTGGCGATTGCCTGCGCTCTCATGGCGCTCTCACAGCACTTCCACTGCGTGCATCAGTCATGGTGAAATAAATGTTTATTTGCATATATCATTCCTTTATACTATTTTGTAGGGTTGGTTCATTGCCATGCAAACGCCGATTGACGCGGTAGAAGCGCATTGGGAGCGCAATGGTCGCCATGTAAGCGCCGTTGATGTGCCGTATAGAGACGCGCTGCCATCTCGGAGAAAGCTGTGCAAGCGCCACCGATAACCATTGCGTTCGCACTGTGACCTCAGTGCGTGCCCGCAGCGATCCAGTGGCGTTGTAGGAGACCTAACTGCGCTGCTACGGGGACCTCACGGCGATCCCACTGCGCTCTTATCAGAACGCTGAGTGACAGCGTTTGCTTTGGGCATGCTCAAAGTGTGCACCGTTGCTCGGCATTCTATGCGATCCCATCGCGTTCACTGGCGATGCCACTGTGTTGCCGCGGCGATGCTTGGGATTCCGCTGTGCGCAGATCTGCGTTCTGGGTATTTCCTTGAATGCCGTGAGAACGCGGCCCTACTGTGACAGCCCTTTAAGGTTTCATAATTATCAGTCAAGTAGGGATGTACAGAAAGTCAGAAAAGGGGTATAACTCTTACAGTAATATATACTTCAAACACACAATGATAATGTGTACTGATAATGTGTACGAAGTTTTAGAAATATAAGTCGAAAAGATAAGAAGAAAACCTCCGACAAAAATAATATAAGGATGTCAGAAAAGGGACATGACTCCATGGAAAACCATTGAAATATTTATAAAAAGAGGATTGCAAGGGTTACAACTGTGATCATCTCAGGTACTGAGCAGGTATACATCAATAACTGGTGGAGTATTTAATATAAGCAGCACCAACCTGGACACACTTCCATCTACAGATGGAGAAATGAACACCCGATTTCAGTATACCCTCTATATAGATGCAAAAGGATTTTTTTTTATTATTTATCTTCTTTTTTGGAAGTACGGCTACTTCATCTATTTAAGGACAAAGAGCCCATCAACAAAATAGAAGTTAAGTAACACAATACAGCCAATCAGAAGGAGTGAATGTATAAATGGTACAGAGTTATATATCTTTGTGGTTGGCATTGAAGACAAAAGCTGTAGAAAGGTAGACAATCCAGCATACCGGCCATGTTACCTGCATCTATACCGGTGAACCTGCATAATCTTAGCAGATTGCAGTACATTTTGCAATCACTTGTATTTGCACTGCTCATATATATATATATATCCTAAAATTGAAAATGTTTAAAACATCAACTTCCTAAAGCTTCGAATATTGAAAAACTTTTAAGGACAGACATATATTAGTATATCAATTAAAAGGCAGATTTTGTTTAAATTCCACCCTCAGGATATTCAAATTTGGCAAAAACTTTGGCAAAGCCTCAGGTTTTACCAAATTCGAAAACCCCTCGGGTGGAAATTCCCTATCATACACCCCTGGACATGAAAGAATCTTATAATCTTAGTAAGATAAACATCCATCTATCACTCACTGGACAAGGTTTTATGTAATTTGACTGACCTGCAATGAGGACTGCTGCACAGAACAGTGCTAGCTCTCCCCTATGTAACTGTAGCTTGGTCAATCGGTCAGCCACGAGGAGATGGTGACTGAGCAGCAACGAAGCCTCGGTACATGAACTGACTGCTGACCGATGGATGGTCATATCTCCCTGAGATTCCCGCAGAGTAACGCTGTCACTGTCTGCTATGTCATGCATCTGCAACGAGGTAAAAGTTTTTAATATATATTTACATTTCCACTGCAAGTTTCTCTAAAAGCATAACCATAAGTAATTGTGTTCATAGGGTTATGAATGCAATTGAATCAGCATGATTTTGAAGTTTCTTCTTCCGCCTCGATTAATTTGATATGATGTTTAAAACAGGTGCTGGGTTTTGATGTTGTCTAAAGTGTTCAAGATGGATATGATGTTTAATACAAATGCTTGGTTTCGATGGTGTCACAAGTGTTCAAGATTGATATGATGTTTAAAACAGGTGCTTGGTTTTGATGGTGTCACAAGTGTTCAAGATTGATTTGATGTTTAAAACAGGTGCTGGGTTTTGATGGTGTCACAAGTGTTCAAGATTGATATGATGTTTAAAACAGGTGCTGGGTTTTGATGGTGTCAAAAGTGTTCAAGATTGATATGATGTTTAATACAGGTGCTAGGTTTTGATGGTGTCACAAGTATTCTAGATGGATATGATCTTTATTTCAGGTGCTTGGTTTGGTGGTGTCAAAAGTGTTAAATTTGGTTGATCTTGAAAACAGGTGCTTAGGTTTGATTGTGTTTAAATTGTTCAATTTAGGTGAACCTTAATACAAGTGCTAGGTTTGGTGGTGTCAAAAGTGTTTAATTTGGGTGATCTTGAATACAGGTGCTAGGTTTGATTGTGTTAAAAGTGTTCAACTTGGGTGAACCTTAATACAAGTGCTAGGTTTGGTGGTGTCAACAGTACAATGTTCAGTTTGGGTGATCTTTAATACAGGTGCTACGTCACAAGGTTGTGTGGTGTCTGAACCTGTTCAATGGAGGTTGTGTTAGGGTTAGAGGTATACTATTTGTTCCACGGAGGGTATACTCTCAACTCACCATGATGACAGAGACAGCTAATGTGCCCTGCTTCATTAGGCTGATCTGGTCGTTGAGGGGTAAACTTGTGAAGCCAGGAATCCTCTTGGCAAACTTAACGGACGCCTGCATGAGGGGGGCAATCATTTGCTGATAGCGGGTAAACACGCCCTGAGTGTGGAAGTCTTCAGAGGTCAAGTGATTAATAAGGTCGGTTCTGTTGTCAAACTTAGCTGCATTTTTCTATTGTTGACAAAGTAAAAATGAAAAACAACTCTTTAACATCCATTTCAGTCCCGACATTGGCAATCAATTATGAAGACACCAAGCATTGAGACTTTGGTGGCAGAGAGTATAGTGAAACCATGTAAGTCCAGAATTTTCAGTTTCAAGCAGATTAGTCCAGATGCAGGCCTTTTGGGTTGTATGTACAATGAAACCACACACATATTTATTTTGATAATATGTATGCCTACAGTAACGGTGAAATATGTACGCCTAAAGTAACGGCGAAATATGTACACCTACAGTAACGGTGAAATATGTACGCCTGCAGTAACGGTGAAATATGTACGCCTACAGTAACGGTGAAATATGTACACCTACAGTAACGGTGAAATATGTACACCTACGATAAGGGTGAAATATGTACGCCTGCAGTAACGGTGAAATATGTACGCCTGCAGTAACGGTGAAATATGTACGCCTACAGTAACGGTGAAATATGTACACCTACAGTAACGGTGAAATATGTACACCTACAGTAGCGGTGAAATATGAACACCTACAGTAACGGTGAAATATGTACGCCTACAGTAACGGTGAAATATGTACACCTACATTAGCGGTGAAATATGAAGACCTACAGTAACGGTCAAATATGTACGCCTATAGTAACGGCGAAATATGTACACCTACAGAAAAGGTGAAATATGTACACTTACAGTAACGGTGAAAGATGTACGCCTACACTAACGGTGAAATATGTCCACCTACAGTAACGGGGAAATATGTACGCCTTCAGTAACGGCGAAATATGTACGCCTGCAGTAGCGGTGAAATATGTACACATACAGTAACGGGGAAATATGTACGCCTGCAGTAACGGTGAAATGTGTACACATACAGTAACGGGGAAATATGGACACCTACAGTAACGGAGAAATATGTACGCCTGCAGTACCGCTGAAATATGTACGCCAACAGTAACGGTGAAAGATGTACACCTACAGTATCGGTGAAATATATACACCTACAGTAGCAGAGAAATATGAACACCTACAGTAACGGGGAAATATGGACACCTACAGTAACGCTGAAATATGTACTCCTACAGTAACGGTGCAATATGTACGCCTACAGAAACGGTGACATATGTACGCCTACATTAGCGGTGAAATATGTACCCCTACAGAAACGGTGAAATATGTGCGCCTACAGTAACGGCAAAATATGTACACCTACAGTATCGGTGAAATATATACACCTACAGTAACTGTGAAGTATGTACGCCTACAGCCACGGTAAAATATGTACACCTACAGTAATGGTGAAATATGTACACTTACAGTAACGGTGAAAGATGTACACCTACAGTAGCAGAGAAATATGAACACCTACCGTAACGGTGAAATATCTACACCTACAGTAACTGTGAAGTATGTACGCCTACAGTAACGGCAAAATATGTACACCTACAGTATCGGTGAAATATATACACCTACAGTAACTGTGAAGTATGTACGCCTACAGAAACGGTGACATATGTACGCCTACAGGAACGGTGAAATATGTACGCGTACAGTAACGGTGCAATATGTACGCCTACTGTAACGGTGAAATATCTACACCTACAGTAACGCTGAAATATGTACACCTACAGTAACGGTGAAATATGTTCACCTACAGTAACGGTGAAATATGTACGCCTACACTGGATTATGAGTGCTGCGCTAATTGAAATTCCAGTACATTATTTTATTTTTTATTTTGTTGCAGTATATTTTGTGGATACACTTGTTCATCAATGCACTTATCTGTTTATTTTTGATAATGCACTAAAATTTGAGTGCACTGAAATAAGCATGTTTACAGTAACCCATGATCAAGTATTATTTAAATACGCTGTGTTGACATTTACCAACCTTTTCTTTTCCGTCTTTCTTCTTGTCAGCCACAAGTTCTGGTTCTCCAAAGAAATCTTTGAATGAAGCCTTTATGTGATCTGACAAAGCGCGTAACTCTACGATCCTCTGACACGAGTTTTTGGAGAGTTCTTCTTTATCCGCCACCAGTTTTTCTCTCTCCACTTTTGGCATTCTTCCAAATCGTACAGCTGTCCATGATAAAAATAGAATAGTATTAAAACAGTGCTGTAGAACAAGATATTTCATATATTTTTTAATTTTAAAACAAAAATGGACATGGACAAGATATTTCCTATTTATTGATATGTTTGGTACATGTACATGCCCCCAGTCTTGTTGAACATATACCTTACATGTAGCCCCCGGCTATATTGGAGGACATGACAGAATGCAGAACTGTTTTTATTATACCACATTTTTATAGCGCCATTAATCAAGGATTGTTTTTAACATACCACGTTTTTATAGCACCATAAATAACCAATCTCAAGCAAATTACTTTCAGGTTGTTCACCTTTTACAGATGACAGACATACATATTCATTAGTCGTTTTTTTTCTTTCTATTTTTGGATCAAGGCCTTAAACACTAGGGCTTCTAGAACTGAGCATTCACTCAAGATTGGAATAGGAGAAATTTTGAACAAATATTGGGAAAAGCCCACTAAATAATTCTAAAATAGATCATATATAAAAAACAATAAAATATAACTAAATAAGGTCCTGATCATGTGTTCCAAGTTTCATGAAATTCTTTATGAAAAATATCTGAAATTACAATTGTGTCTTTTTTGTTCTGTTTCAATTATAACTATAACTATTATCCATATGTTGTAAAGCGCTTTAGAGTAATTTTACAAATTATATAGGGCGCTATATAAACGTTGTATATTATTATTATTATTTCTTGTTTTCAGATAATAGATTTAAAGCTCCTTCAATACAAATTTTGAAATTCAATATTTTTGAAAAAATACCAAATTAGTGTTTGCATCAAACATATCGTGGTTGTGAACAACTTTGAGCTTGTTAAAAGACTTATCAATAGGCCTAACAAGTGGTTAATACAAACTTTAAATTTTTCTTATTTAAATATACAATTAGCTGATAGCTATAAATATATGTAGCTTTAGTTAAGAATTTCAGTTTCGTTTTTTAATTTGTGCTAGACTGAAATTCTAACTGAATGTGCCGCTTGTGAATGTTGACCCGGGGAAAGTAATCTAATATCTTTGCAACAATAAATGAATTATATAATTTCTTTGGTACATAATGAATAAGAATTGAAATAAATCAGTCTAGGTTAATGGGTGTTACATACACCTTCAAAATGTCCACCTAATTGTTCCTGAACTTGAAGACTAATTTATACAGTGTACTATAAAAGTGTCATCATATACAATAAGTACTAGACAGACACGTTTTAAGGCTGTTATTTATACGTACTATCAAAATGTCAACCTAACTTTTAGACGAGGTTGCAGAGAGGATAAAGCAATTTCCATATGTGTACATACCTAAGTTCCTACATAAATAGGTACAAACAAGGACACTCTCTCATCACTCTAGCAATCTGTTTGTTTGTGAGCATCGTAATCAAACTTTGACTTTGTTTACCGGTATTTGAAAAGTTTGATAATACCTTGAGTGATTTGTGTTTCTGGGTTGCATGGTAAGGGTCGAGATTCCTGTTAGATAATGCATAGATTTTATTTTTATCGCCCTGATGACTTCATTCCTGCATAGATTTTGATTAAACTTCATATACAGGTCTGAAATGAGAATACTTCCAACAAGGCTGTGTTCCAGGGCGTCCAAGTTAACGTCATTGTTACTATTTATAGGTATCATTGTCGTTACTCTGGCGCCTAAATAATTTCTAAAGGGATCTTGGTCAAACTGCATATATTGGTCAAGCATGAACTAGAATACCTTTATTCATATTTTAGAGTGCCAATTTCAAAGTCAAGGTCACTACCCAGTATTTATAGAAAATCATTGTCATCGCTCTAGTGACTTAGGGATTTTGATCAAATTTTATATATTGGTTAAGTAGGAGAATCTGAACCAATTTTTGTTTTGTTTTTTGTTTGTTTTTTGTTTTAAGGGTTCTAAGGTGAAGGTCAAGTTCACCATTAATATTAACATTTTTTTTTCATATTTCTTAAACAAATCTGACCGAATGTTATCATCTTTAAACATCTAGCGTTATCTCAATTTTGGAATACTTGTCTCCGAGACTATCAAATTGATGCTAATTGGTATTCACTGATGATCCCATAATTTCATTTTAAGGTTGTATTTGTTACCACACTTGAGGAAGCAGAGTAACCATATTTCATACTTGCCAACTTTTTGAATTTTCCATGGGAGAGATTACACATGCTCAGAATTAAAAGCATAAATAAAGTGTGTATGTACACCCTAGGGGAAAATAATCCTTTAAAATGACATATTTTGAGCTGTTCTTTCAGATGAAATCATTAGATGTTAGAATATAGAAATAGTTTAGCAAATTCACTAGTTGAAAAGGCTCAATTTGAGGGTCCAAAATCGGGCCAAACATCACACTGGGATTCTTGGTTATTCACAAAAGTCACATAAAATGTTTTTACATATTTGACCTCTGTGGCCTTAGTTGAGCATAGGTAAATGTCATTTATTTATGTTAATTTATTCAGAAAAAGTTCCTTAAAGGTATTGAACACATCTGATCCTTAATTTTGACCTAAAAAGTAAGTCAAGGTCAATTATTTGAGGAAATTTTATTAAACATCATCCCACTATCCAACTTGTTAAATATCATTACCCAGGGTCTCCTGGTCATTCAAAAGACGTTGCTTAAATGATGTTTTAGATTTGACCTCTGTGACCTTGAAATCTGTCGAGGTCATTATTTTTAGAAAACTTTTTAGCATTCCTCAGGTTATCATGACCCTTGGTCCTCAAATTAAAGAAGTCGTTTAAAGAAAACGTTGGAGGACAGATGACTGACATACACGTACTGTCTCCAGCACTCATGATTGTGCAAGTAGACCTAAAAATGCTGAACATGAGGTATGCTTCTCTTATCTATTAAACTATAACCTTCATGTGTTTACAGAACATGACTGTATTCGACTATACTGTGACTATATAATGATTATGTTATCCCCTGTGTTAACTGTACTGTGACTTTATAATGATTATGTAATCCCCTGTGTTGACTGTAGTATGACTATATAATGATTATGTTATCCCCTGTGTTGAATGTACTGTGACTTTATAATGATTATGTAATCCCTTGTGTTGACTGTAGTGTGACTATATAATGATAATGTAATCCCCTCCGTTGACTGTAGTGTGACTATATAATGATTAGGTAATCCCCGGTGTTGACTGTAGTGTGACTATATAATGATAATGTAATCCCCTCCGTTGACTGTAGTGTGACTATATAATGATTAGGTAATCCCCGGTGTTGACTGTAGTGTGACTATATAATGATTAGGTAATCCCCTGTGTTGACTGTAGTGTGACCATGTAATGATTATGTAATCCCCTGTGTTGACTGTACTGTGACTATATAATGATTATGTAATCCCCTGTGTTAACTGTACTGTGACTTTATAATGATTATGTAATCCCTTGTGTTGACTGTAGTGTGACTATATAATGATAATGTAATCCCCTCCGTTGACTGTAGTGTGACTATATAATGATTATGTAAATCCCTGTGTTGACTGTAGTGTGACTATATAATGATTAGGTAATCCCCGGTGTTGACTGTAGTGTGACTATATAATGATTAGGTAATCCCCGGTGTTGACTGTAGTGTGACTATATAATGATAATGTAATCCCCTCCGTTGACTGTAGTGTGACTATATAATGATTAGGTAATCCCCTGTGTTGACTGTAGTGTGACTATGTAATGATTATGTAATCCCCTGTGTTGACTGTAGCGTGACTATATAATGATTATGTAATCCCCTGTGTTAACTGTAGTGTGACTATATAATGATTATGTAATACCCTGTGTTGACTGTAGCGTGACTATATAATGATTAGGTAATCCCCTGTGTTGACTGTACTGTGACTATATAATGATTATGTAATCCCCTGTGTTAACTGTAGTGTGATTATATAATGATTATGTAATAACCTGTGTTGACTGTAGTGTGACTATATAATGATAATGTAATCCCCTCCGTTGACTGTAGTGTGACTATATAATGATTAGGTAATCCCCGGTGTTGACTGTAGTGTGACTATATAATGATAATGTAATCCCCTCCGTTGACTGTAGTGTGACTATATAATGATTAGGTAATCCCCGGTGTTGACTGTAGTGTGACTATATAATGATTAGGTAATCCCCGGTGTTGACTGTAGTGTGACTATATAATGATTAGGTAATCCCCGGTGTTGACTGTAGTGTGACTATATAATGATTATGTAATCCCCTGTGTTAACTGTACTGTGACTTTATAACGATTATGTAATCCCCTGTGTTGACTGTAGCGTGACTATATAATGATTATGTAATTCCCTGTGTTGACTGTAGTGTGACTATATAATGATTAGGTAATCCCCGGTGTTGACTGTAGTGTGACTATATAATGATTAGGTAATCCCCGGTGTTGACTGTAGTGTGACTATATAATGATTATGTAATCCCCTGTGTTAACTGTAGTGTGACTATATAATGATTATGTAATAACCTGTGTTGACTGTAGTGTGACTATATAATGATAATGTAATCCCCTGTGTTGACTGTAGTGTGACTATATAATGATTAGGTAATCCCCTGTGTTGACTGTAGTGTGACTATATAATGATTATGTAATCCCCTGAGTTAACTGTAGTGTGACTATATAATGATTAGGTAATCCCCTGTGTTGACTGTAGTGTGACCATGTAATGATTATGTAATCCTCTGTGTTGACTGAAGTGTGACTACATAATGATTATGTAATCCCCTATGTTGACTGTAGTGTGACTATATAATGATTATGTAATTCCCTGTGTTGACTGTACTGTGACTATATAATGATTATGTAATCCCCTGTGTTGACTGTAGTGTGACCATGTAATGATTATGTAATCCCCTGTGTTGACTGAAGTGTGACTACATAATGATTATGTAATCCCCTGTGTTGACTGAAGTGTGACTATATAATGATTATGTTATCCCCTGTGTTAACTGTAGTGTGACTATATAATGATTAGGTAATCCCCTGTGTTGACTGTAGTGTGACTACATAATCATTATATAGTCACACTGCAGTCAACACAGGGGATTACATAATAATTATGTAGTCACACTTCAGTCAACATAGGGGATTACATAATCATTACATAGTCACACTTCGGTCAACACAGGGAATTACATAATCATTATATAGTCACACTACAGTTAACACAGGGGATTACCTAATCATTATATAGTCACCCTACAGTCAACACAGGGGATTACCTAATCATTATATAGTCACGCACAGTCAACACAGGGGATTACATAATGATTAGGTAATCCCCTGTGTTGACTGAAGTTTGACTACATAATGATTATGTAATCCCCTGGGTTGACTGTAGTGTGACTATATAATGATAAAGTAATCCCCTGTGTTGACTGTCACACAATCTCCTGTAGCCTCACGGTTGACATGTAATTATGATTTAACTGTAGTGTGACTACATAATCATTATATAGTCACACTTCAGTCAACCCAGGGGATTACATAATCATTATATTGTCACAGTACAGTCAACACAGGGGATTACTTTATCATTATATAGTCACACTACAGTTAACACAGGGGATTACATAATCATTACATGGTCACAGTACAGTCAACACAGGGGATTGCCTAATCATTATATAGTCACACTTCAGTCAACCCAGGGGATTACATAATCATTATAAAGTCACAGTACAGTTAACACAGGGGATTACCTAATCATTATGTAATCCCCTGTGTTGACTGCAGTGTGACTATATAATGATTAGGCAATCCCCTGTGTTGACTGTAGTGTGCCCATGTAATGATTATGTAATCCCCTATGTTGACTGAAGTGTGACTACATAATGATTATGTAATCCCCTGGGTTGACTGTAGTGTGACTATATAATGATAATGTAATCCCCTGTGTTGACTGCAGTGTGACTATATAATGATTAGGCAATCCCCTGTGTTGACTGTAGCGTGACTATATAATGATTATGTAATCACCTGTGTTGACTGTAGTGTGACCACGTAATGATTATGTAATCCCCTATGTTGACTGAAGTGTGACTACATAATTATTATGTAATCCCCTGTGTTGACTGAAGGGTGACTATATAATGATTAGGTAATCCCCTGTGTTGACTGAAGGGTGACTATATAATGATTATGTAATCGCCTGTGTTGACTGTAGTGTGACCACGTAATGATTATGTAATCCCCTGTGTTGACTGACGTGTGACTATATAATGATTATGTAATCCCCTGTGTTGACTGTCACACAATCTCCTGTAGCCTCACGGTTGACATGTAATTATGATTTAACTCCTGATATGGTATCTCCATGATACCTAATTATCAGTTAACACTTTCACGTCTACCGCGGTTGTTATCAGAGATATGTATTACATAAGTCACTGTTAATCAAGTCAAGTGTTTATGATAAAAAAACCCTACATTTTGTTAAAACTGTCTTTTGTTATAATTCACCACAATAGATTAATACCCTACATGAAAACAATGGATGACAATGCAGTGCACCTGTTTCTGCAGACCTAATCAAAGGATCACTTTCAACCCAATGCTGCATTGGGTGTATTATGTCAGTGTGACATTAAAGCCGCTCACCACTTTAAATTTAATTGCTTCAGTAACACGTTGAGCATCAATATCTACTATAATACCTCAGATATGTGCTCTGTATTCTGCTAATTGAAAATCAGGTCATGTGATGATGTTGCCTTTGGGATTTCCAAAATCAATCACCTCTTAAATGATGCCATAAAACATTTCTTCCTCTCCTCTTTTTTCACCCTCTTTAAGTGTGATGCATTGTTGTAATTTTCATTAATTAGCACCCTCCAATGATTTGACATGAGCATTTATGTGCAGAATGGCAATCGGTGAATGATAATAAAGAATAGGTGCATTTTGTGATTGTGAAATGAAGAATTAACAGTATGGGGAAAAAATGCAGGGAGAAAAGAGACATTGTACTCCTTTTATTTATATTTTTTACTTATTCATATTAATAATAATTATTTATATATGTAGTGACTTTATTTTCTGTCATTGAATATACAAAATCTCACAAAATCTCACAAATGTTCTTGGAATATATTTGAATTACATTTCTCAATGCGACTTTACCAACGTAAGAGTTATTTCCTTTACACCGGATTGGATAATATTTTGACAGGGCGCGAATTCTTGTCAGACAGCAGCGGCAGTTATGTCATGTTCTTAAATTGTTACACTTTCATAAACAAGAGGCCCATAGGGCCTGTATCGCTCACCTGGATATCTAAGCAATCATGGCAGAATATTCTCCAAATGAGATCCAAGGGAATATGCCAGACCCCAAGGCCAATCCTTGTAGCATATATATCTGTATTCAATTTTTCATGCCCAGCAATTTTATGTATGGTTATGGGGTGGGGATCTCAACTGTTTCCAAGCTGTGACTCAGAAACTAGGTCCCTACGGTTGTGGCTAGACCCCAGGATCAATTCTAATATCATGACTGCATTTGTCTCTTTTTGCCCAGCATTTGTATATATAGTTTTGGGGTGGGGATTTCAACCGTTTCAAAGTTATGACCCAGGGGTTAAGTCTGCAAGGGTGGGGCAAACCCTGGGGTCAATTCTAATATCATGACTGCATTTGTCTCTTTATGCCCAACAATTGTATATATAGTTTTGGGGTGGGGATCTTAACCATTTCAAAGTTATGACCCAGGGGTTAAGTCTCCAAGGGTGGGGCAGTCCCCAAGGCCATCCTGGAAGCATATGTGCATTCATCTCTTTGTAATCGGCAATTGTCTATATGGTTATAGGGTGGGGATCTCAACTGTTTCCAAGCTGTGACTAAGAAACTAGGTCCCTAGGGGTTCGGTCAGACCCCAGGGTCTATTCTAATATTGTGACTGCATTCGTCTCTTTATGCCCAGCATTTGTATATATAGTTTTTGAGTGGGGATCTCAGCCGTTTTAAAGTTATGGCCCAAGGACTATGTTTCCAAGGGTGGGGCCAGACCCTAGGGCCATCCTGGAAGCAAATGTGCATTCTTCTCTTTATACTCAGCAATTGTATATGTGGTTACATGGTGGGGATCTCAACTATTTCCAGGCAATAAACTTTTTTTGGCCCCACCCCTTAGCCCGGGGGGGGGGGGGTCAGCCCCACCATTTGTACAATTTTGAATCCCTGCCTCCCATGAATGCTTCCGACCAAATATGATCGATATCCATGGCATAGTTTTACAGAAGAAGTCATTTATAGCAATCTAGCCAAATTGCCCCCTTTTGGCCCTGCCCTCAACCCCCTGGAGGGTCAGCCCCACTATTTGTACAATTTTGAATCCCCACCACCTAGGGATGCTTCCAGTCAAATTTAGTTATATTCCAATCAGTGGTTAAGAAGAAGAAGTTGACGGACGGACGACGGACGACGGATGACAGACGACGGACGACAGACGACAGACGACGGACGACGGACGACGGACGCCACGGTATGGCATAATTATATGCTCACCTTGGTCCTTTGGACCAGGTGAGCTAATAAATACACCAGAAATAGCATGCTGTGTTACAGAAATGTTTGATAAGCATACACAGTTCACATATCATCTCGTCTCAGAGTCAGAGCCATTACCGTTATCAACCTAAGCACGATATGTCATATTACGTTCCCGTTTGAAACATCAAAATAGAGGTTATACTTCATCACTGATACAGTTTATAAGTATATATATATACTTCTTCCTTCTACAGACAGCGTCAATGCTTGACAGTCTTCACATGTGCTTTCTCAAATCATATGTGTTTCACACACGTAACACTCCTCAGACCTCAATCCGAGTTGCTAAAACGCTCAAACCTAGTGCAGGAATTTCACCACCACAACACTCTCAGAATGCACCAGAGATAAACATTTTGTTTTCAGCAGTTATTTAAAGTATGGATTATTATTTGGAGAAGATTATCAGAATTTTACCATTGGGGGACATTCCAGCGTTAAGACATCGTTGAAATCGGCAGGCTTGACACTTGTTGCGTGATGCTGTATCTAACTTGCACTGTTTTCCGTTCTTACATGCTTCATATGTCAATTTCTTCTTCAGCGTTCTCCTGAAGAATCCCTGAAACCATGAAACAAAATTTATTAAGGCAGCTGGGAGATAGGCCTCCCAAATACAATATTTTATATTTATTTTCAATTCATCTATAAGAATGTACCCGGAGAGGAATCTGATAGTAGTGATGGTTCTTACCTTGCAGCCCTCACAGGAGCGAACCCTGTAGTGGAACCCTGATGGTTCTTACCTTGCTGCCCTCACAAGAGTGAACCCCACAGTGGAACCCTGAGTACTGATGGTTCGTACCTTGCAGCACTCACAGGAGTGAACTCCACAGTGGAACCCTGATGGTTCTTACCTTGCAGCCCTCACAAGAGTGTACCCCATAGTGGAACCCTGATGGTTTTTACCTTGTAGCCCTCACAGGAGTGAACCCCGCAGTGGAACCCTGAGTAGTGATGGTTCATACCTTGCAGCCCTCACAAGAGTGAACCCCACAGTGGAACCCCAAGTAGTGATGGTTCTTACCTTGCAGCCCTCACAAGAGTGAACCCCACAGTGGAACCCCAAGTAGTGATGGTTCTTACCTTGCAGCCCTCACAAGAGTGTACTCCGTAGTGGAACCCTGAGTAGTGATGGTTCTTACCTTGCTGTCCTCACAAGAGTGAACCCCACAGTGGAACCATGAGTAGTGATGGTTCTTACCTTGTAGCCCTCACAAGAGCGTACTCCGTAGCGAAACCCTGAGTAGTGATGGTTCTTACCTTGCAGCCCTCACAAGAGTGAACCCCACAGAGGAACCCTGAGTAGTGATGGTTCTTACCTTGCTGTCCTCAGAAGAGTGAACCCCACAGTGGAACCCTGAGTAGGGATGGTTCTTACCTTGCAGCCCTAACAAGAGTGAACCCCACAGTGGAGCCATGAGTAGTGATGGTTCTTACCTTGTAGCCCTCCCAAGAGCGTACTCCGTAGCGAAACCCTGAGAAGTGATGGTTCTTACCTTGCTGTCCTCAGAAGAGTGAACCCCACAGTGGAACCCTGAGTAGTGATGGTTCTTACCTTGCAGCCCTCAGAAGAGTGTACTCCGTTGTGGAACCCTGAGTAGTGATGGTTCATACCTTGCAGCCCTCACAAGAGTGTACTCCGTAGTGGAACCCTGAGTAGTGATGGTTCTTACCTTGCAGCCCTCACAAGAGTGTACTCCGTAGTGGAACCCTGAGTAGTGATGGTTCTTACCTTGCAGCCCTCACAAGAGTGTACTCCGTAGTGGAACCCTGAGTAGTGATGGTTCTTACCTTGCAGCCCTCACAAGAGTGTACTCCGTAGTGGAACCCTGAGTAGTGATGGTTCTTACCTTGCAGCCCTCACAAGAGTGTACTCCGTAGTGGAACCCTGAGTAGTGATGGTTCTTACCTTGCAGCCCTCACAAGAGTGTACTCCGTAGTGGAACCCTGAGTAGTGATGGTTCTTACCTTGCAGCCCTCACAAGAGTGTACTCCGTAGTGGAACCCTGAGTAGTGATGGTTCTTACCTTGCAGCCCTCACAAGAGTGTACTCCGTAGTGGAACCATGAGTAGTGATGGTTCTTACCTTGCAGCCCTCACAAGAGTGTACTCCGTAGTGGAACCCTGATGCTTTGTCCCCACAGATACGACAGATCACTTCTAGCTCTGTTGTGTACAGCTGCTTACTTTGGCCACTCATCTGGCAAACAAACAAATATTAAATACATAAAGGGCTGGTGACCATAAAACTAGCTCACCTGGTTTTTACTCCTTGAAATATATTTCAAATATCAAAATTTTGCTGATCATATTCATGACTGAATTCAATAATTCCGTTGTCTTAGCAGTATTTTTTTCTGTGTTTTTTTTCTTTTTTCAATTATGAAGGAACCGTGAAAAAGTCAACCATGTCGACTTCATCATATTGGAAACGGTGCGATATAGGAACTACTTTCTAGTTTTATGAACATTATTAAGCTTAGTATTTCAATGTTTTATATATAACATATCACATTCCAAGTTCAAAGTTTTCCTGTTAAACAGTACACTAGTAGGGTTGATTAGTAATGCTTCTTTTTATTATTTTACTGTTGTAATAGTTTTGAACAATACCACACACTCAAACAAGAGGCCCAATGGGCCTGATTCGCTCACCTGGTATTAATCTCACACTACAGGCAGAATATCAGTGTTTGATTCATAAGAACCTATTAAAAGATTTAAACATCTGACGCCGGTGACCTTGAATGTCGAATAAGGACATTAGGTTGAACAGAGTTTATAATCTTCCAACCCAGCATGCTTCTAGCAAAATATCATCACCCTGTACCATTTGGTTATACAGAACAAATCATTGAAAGATTTAAACATTTATTGACCACTGTGACCTTGAATATGGGCGAAGGTCATTCACTTGAACAAACTTGGTAGCCCTTCATCCCAGCATGTTACTGGCTAAATATCATCACCCTAGGCCTCTTGCTTATTCAGAAGAAGTTGTTAAAGGTTTTAAACATATTTGGTCCCTGTGACCTTGAATATAAATCGAGGTAATTCATTTGAACAAACTTGGTAGCCCTTTATTTCAGCATGTAAATGGCCAAATATCATCACCCTAGGCCTCTTGGTTATTCAGAAGAAGTTGTTTAAAGGTTTTAAACATAGTTGACCCCTGTGACCTTGAATGCAAGTCAAGGTCATTTATTTGAACAAACTTGGTAGCCCTTCATCCAAGCATGTTACTGGCCAAATATCATCACCCTAGGCCTCTTGTTAATTCAGAAGAAGTTGTTTAAATGTTTTTAATATATTTGACCCCAGTGACCTTGAATATGATTTAAAGTCATTTATTTGAACAAACTTAGTAGCCTTTCATCCCAGCATATTACTGGCCAAATATCATCACCCTTGGCCTCTCAGTTATTCAAAAGAAGTTGTTTAAAGGTTTTAAACACATTTGACCCCTGTGACCTTAAATATAAGTCAAGGTCATTTATTTGAACAAACTTCAGGTAGCCCTTCATCCCAGCATCCTTCTGGCCGAATATCAACACTCTAAGCCTCTTAGTTATTAAGAAGAAGTTGCTTAAATGTTTTAATGTATTTGACATCTGTGGCCTTGTAAATAGATGAAGGTCATTTATTTGAACAAACTTGGAAGCCCTTTATCCCAGCATCCTTCTGGCCAAATATCATCACCCTAGGCCTTTTGGTTACTGAGAAGAAGTTGTTAAAAGTTTTATTTTTAACATGAACAGAAATATTATTCAAAGTGACAAAAAACAATAAAACCACCTTATTCAATATCTAGCATACAGATTTCAGACTAAAAAGTATTTGAAACTAGCACTTCTGATTCTAAACAAGGAAAATGAAGAAATTTTAGCACACTGACTCCTTTGAGTCCCACCCTTCAGCCCTTGGGGGTAGGGCTGACTCAAAATTTTCAAAGTATCAAACTGTCAATTCAAGTTTATAATTCCAATCAAGAAAACAAGTAATATTCAAAGTATCATTTGCCATTATAAACCATAATACATTTTGCCCCCCCCCCCCCCCCCCTGCTTCTTCCCCAGGGGGTAAACGTGGACCCTAGGGTCATAAACCTTACGACCCTTCCATCTATGAAGAGTATTTGATTCTACCATATCTGGGTCTTGGGAAGAAGTTTTTTTTAATTTCAGTCAATTCAACCCTTTTTGGCCTCACCCATCAGCCCCTGGGGGTCAGTCAGGGCTCATAGGTGCATACTATCAAACTGCTACCTAATACTGATAATGCTAACCCAAATTGAATTACTTCCAATGGAAATTAAACAAATGTTGGTCCAAAATGTGATTTCCCTATATAAACTATAGTAAAGTTTACCCCCTCCCCAGGGGGAAACGTGAGACCCCAGGGTCATGAAATTCACAATTTCGGAAAGCACCTTAAGACCCTTCCATCTTTGAAGAGTATTTGATTTTACCATATCTGGGTCTTGAGAAGAAGATTTTTGAAATTTAAGTCAATTTGACCCCTTTCGGCCCCGCCCCTCAGGCCCCTGGGGGCTTGGGACTAAACCGGCCACTCTTTTTGTTGACTTCTGTCCATGGAAGGTCCCTGCAAAATTGCATTGAAATTGGTTCAGGGGAAGAAGATTTTTGAAATTTTAGTCAATTTGGTTTCAATTTGAAATTGGTTCAGGAGAAGAAGATTTTTGAAATTTTAGTCAATTTGACCCTTTTTGACCCCACCCCTCATGATCAGGCCCCTGGCGGCTTGAGACTAAACCGGCCACCATTTTTGTTGACCTTTGTCCATGGAAGGTCCCTGCAAAATTTCATTGAAATTGGTTCAGGGGTTTTGGAGAAGAAGATTTTTGAAATTTCAGTCAGCCGATGTGATATCAGGCTTGTAGACAGCAATGTGATATATCAGGCTTGTAGACAACGATTTGATATCAGGCTTGTAGACCCGTGAGGGGGGGTTGTTTATGTATCAGTACTTGGTTGGATACCTATATGACAGATATTAATAGACAGAAAAAGGTTTGTATTTGTTAATGTAGACAAAAATGTGATATCAGGCTTGTAGACAACAATTTGATATCAGGCTTGTAGACAACGATTTGATATCAGGCTTGTACACAACGATTTGATATAAGGCTTGTAGGACAGCAATGTGATATCAGGCTTGTAGGACAGCGATGTGATATCAGGCTTGTAGACAGCAATGTTATATCAGGCTTGTAGACAACGATGTGATATCAGGCTTGTAGGACAGCAATGTGATATCAGGCTTGTAGGACAAAGATGTGATATATCAGGCTTGTAGACAGCGATGTGATATCAGGCTTGTAGACAGCAATGTTATATCAGGCTTGTAGACAACGATGTGATATCAGGCTTGTAGGACAGCAATGTGATATCAGGCTTGTAGACAGCAATGTGATATCAGGCTTGTAGACAACGATTTGATATCAGGCTTGTAGACAGCGATGTGATATCAGGCTTGTAGACAGCGATGTGATATCAGGCTTGTAGACAGCGATGTGATATCAGGCTTGTAGACA